CTATTCATAAAAATATTTATATCCCCCCATAGCATAAAAAATATCAAAGTGGTTTACAACAATATCTATGTACAATAAAAAACAACAATTAAAAATAAAATAAAACCAGAGGTCATCAACTAATTATCACAGAAATATGTTTCATTTAATTGCCTGCATAAGCTTAGTTGCACAGAAAAGTTTTAACCAGGCATTTAAAGGGTAAAACAAGAAGGCACTGGCTGAAATCTCTATTATTAGATAATTATCTCCAGAATGTCTAATTACTGAAACCTTTGGAATAATTAAAATCATACTGAGATCTGTGTTTAATGTGACTGCATAAGGGCAAAACTAGTTCTGGATGTGACTCTCCAAATCTCTCAACCTGGGCCTTGTGACTCTTCCCTGGGTGCACCCCGTCACTGGCACTGCTACACATGCAAAATCCTTACATGCTGCTGGTACATGTGATTGTCCAAATTGACCACCAAATATATTGGAGAAATATTTAACCCACTCAGAGGCAGGAATTGAGGCTTCCTGTGATGATCTCACTTCATTCAAGCCCTGGGCCACCAGTTCCCAGAATTTGTCTTCCCTCTGTTCCATTACTGCTAGTCCCAATTCCTGCCACTTGATTTCCATATATTCAGCTTGTATATTCAGTATATTTATTGTTTTTGGACAGATTCTTGTATTCCAACCTACATTTGGTGAAACTTTCCATGGATTCCTCTGATGGATTCTTATGAGAATCCCTAATTATTCTTGGTCAGAACTTTCTTTGCATTGACCACTTTGCATTGACCATCAAACCAGCCACGGTGTGTTGATTGTGTGTAGTTATTAATTACAGAAGTTATCAAATAGAACTTGAGTTCTGTGAGAATCTGCTAGAAGAAGACATCAACAAGATTTGGAGGTTTGTTCAAAAAAGGTTGACACAAGCTCCTCAGATTATTACTATATAGTGTCTCATGAATACAGCTGCTCAATCTGTGAGACCATTTTTCACACCATTTATTTCTCCGTTGACTCTTGCAGATTTGGTTGTAGGTATGCATTCTGTTAGAGGACCTAGGGTCACTGATATTGGAAAGCGGTTGCTTTCTTTTCATTCTGACACTTCAAAAGTGTTCACAAAAGCAAATAATGGAGACACTACAATATGATCAATATCACTTCCACCATATCTCATAGAATCATAGAATTGTAGAGTTGGAAAGGTCCACTAGGGTTGTTTAATCCAACCCCCAGCAATGCAGGAATATTTCCCCCAACATGGGCTTGAACCCACAATCTTGAGATTAAGAGCCTTATGCTCTATTGAGCTATCCCTATTTGTTCAAATTAAGTATACAGTGGTACTTCTGGTTACGTACTTAATTTGTTCCAGGGGTCCGTTCTTAACCTGAAACTGTTCTTAACCTGAAGCACCACTTTAGCTAATGGGGCTCCTCATCCTGAAGCAAAGTTCTTAACCCGAGGTACTATTTCTGAGTTAGGGGAGTCTATAACCTGAAGCGTATGTAACCTGAAGTGTATGTAACCCAAGGTACCACTGTACTGACTCTTAGAAATGGCTTCAGGACTCCCGTGAAGGATGTATAAAACATGTTGGAATACAAATTCCAACAATTTCAGGCTCTGTGCCCAAAGTAAAAATGAAAGGTTAGAAATATATATTCAAAGTCAAAGCCTAAAGGTAGCAAGAGACCCTACGCAGTTCCTCCGATTTGGGCATTAAAATCCCCACACAGTGTAAATGCTGGGGGGAATTTATGATTGATCTATTCCAGTAGGAATGTTAAATATGACCAAATCATGGTGGTCAGTGACAGATTATTAGTAGGGGGAAAGTAGGTGTTTCTACAGAAGAGTAAGGTTCTTACTTCAGTTTTGTTTTGATGTGGCAAAATATATTTTGAATCCCAAAATGTGCTCTCCAAAATCTCCCTGTCAATTCAAGTGACATAAACAAAGTTAAGCCCCCACTTCTTCAGCTGTTTTAAGATTTCTGAACAGCTGGCTGGCTGAAAGGTGGCAGCAAGGTGTTTGTGACAAAACTTGAGACCAAGTCTCTTCCAGGCATATTGTTATAGCAAGGATACCAGAGTCTCTTACTGATTAGCAGAAAATAATATAGGGTAGTATGTAGATAATATTTGGAGTATTGGAGGGAAGAAAATACAAGCTAAGCTTCTGTTCCAGGCCAAGGCCTCACCTGTGATGGAGGACGTTACCGTGGCAAAAGGTGTTGATGACCTATCCCAGATAAATCACAGGGCCTGTGCAAAAGAGTTGCCATGCTTACCGTGGGTTTAGGATTGAAAAAAGCGGAAGGGGCAGGCTGTGCTCACAAGAAAAGTGTTCCTTTTAAAACTAGGCTTGGAATAGCAGATGGATGGGGAGGAGTTGTTTGGAGCAGGGGTTTCTGGGAAGAAGAAAGGGCTGCAGCTGTCAGAGCTGGCTGGGAAGCGGGAACAAAGGGGTGGTGGTGCTTTAGGGTGCCATTGTCTGCAGTGCTGGGCTGCTGTGAGGAACAAGCTTGAGTTCACAGTGCTGTAAGGTCTGCACCCGTTTCATCTAAACTGAAGAGTAAATATGTGTAATTTCTTAAAAGACACTACCACCTCTGTCATGTTGGGGTTCTCAGTGGAAACACGGCCCTGAGCGATCACCTGTAACCCCTTGGGACCTCGTGCACTGCTTAGCAGAGATTGCAGGTGGAGCTCAGCCTTAGTTGAAACCCTCCCAACCTTTCGTGAGGAAAAATTCCGGGCACACCCCAACCCCTCCCTGCCACTGACCCCTTCCTTGCTCTCCTTCTCACCCACTCCTCCCCTCCCCTCTCTTACCTTTGCTGTCTTCAGCCTCCTTATCCATCTTATTATTCCCAACCTGCCAGGTTCCAGGAAAGAATGTTTCTAGATGTTTTCTAGTCAGTTGAGATACATTAACAGGAGAGCTAAAGGTATCATAGTTTGCTTTTCTATACAGTGGTACCTCAGGTTAAGTACTTAATTCGTTCCGGAGGTCCGTTCTTAACCTGAAACTGTTCATAACTGAAACTGTTCTTATTCTGAAGCAAAGTTCTTAACCTGAAGCACCATTTCTGGATTAGCGGAATCTGTAACCTGAAGCGTATGTAACCCGAGGTACCACTGTAATTGCCCCTAGGTCTGGGTGTACTCAAAACACTCTCTTGGAAGTTTCATACAGAGACAGTGAAAGTCAAGGCACAGAAGACCATAGGGGCATTGATAAAGTTCTGTTACAACAAGGGAGGACAGCTGATTGGAACCTGCCCTAAAGGTAGAAAAGTGCTTGCTCAAATGCTCTATGGTGTTGAAATCTCAGCCTCTGATTAAAGTTTTGAAAACTCTGAAGAATAATTTTGTTCAGAAGCTTATGCTCTCTACCATCAGGAATATCAGCAGCTCTTCTTCATACAGAATCTGAGTGGCTAACAATTAAGGCAAGAGCAGACTGGACATAGTTAAAGCACCATATGTTTCGCTCTATAGGACGCACAGGACCATAGGACGCACCTTGTTTTAGGGGGGGAGAACAAGAAAAAAAAATCTCAGCGAAGCAGCAGGAGGCGCTGCGCAGAGAGGGGGAGAATTCCCCCCCTTGTTCTCCCCCTCTAAAACAAGGTGCCATTCAAGGTGCGTTCAGTCACCTTCAGGCGGCTACCTTGGAAGCCTGTAGAGCGAGAGGGGTCGGTGCACACCTACCCTTCTCGCTCTCCAGGCTTCAGGTTCCTTTCGACCTGCTCTTTGGGGCTGGCGGGGGGAAGCCCACCGCCAGCCCCAAAGAGCAGGTCGGGGAGCAGCGGAAAGGCGCGCAGCCTTCCACTCCTTAAAGGGTGTGCGGCTCCTGTGGGCTTTTGCAGGAGGTGGGGGTATTGCCATAGCCGCACACAGCCTCTCCCTGCTGGAGAGGTGGCGCGGGGCTAAAGAGGCTGCTGCCATAGCCGTGCGCCACCTCTCCAGCCGGGAGTGGGTGCGCGGGGCTTCTTTAGCCCCGCGCCACCTCTCCGGCAGGGGGAGGCTGCGCGCGGCTATGGCAATACCCCCACCTCCCGCAAAAGCCCACAGGAGCCGCACACCCTTTAAGGAGTGCACGGCTCCTGTGGGCTTTTCTACGAGGAGGGAGAAGGGACTGACTGGCCGCGTCAGTCCCTTTGCCCTCCTGTGGAAAAGCCCGCAAGAGCCGTGTGGAGCTTTTGGGGGCTTTTCCTGCCTGCCTCCCCTCTGCATTCGCTCCATAGGATGCACACACATTTCCCCTTCATTTTTGGAGGGGGGAAAGTGCGTCCTATAGAGCGGAAAATACGGTATATTTTAACAATTGCTGCTATGCATATTGAGTGTTTCCTGTGCTGTGCTATATGGAATTTGGTGATAACCAACTCTGGAAAACAGTGTGTTGAAATGTTTTAGACTATTTATATAGAGACTTTGTCACATTCAGAGTGGCCTTCTATGCACTGGCTGAAAAAAGAAGGAAGGAAGGAAAGGGAAAAGAAACAGAATCAGGAAAAAGAAGTTAGCTAAAATATCTATAAATTGCTGTGATGATTTGGAGGTTTAATTTGCAACCATACATCCAAAATATGAGCCAACATCCATGTATGATCCATGTTTTTTTTTTTGGTAATATTGCTCTGGGTTCCTCATGACCTTTGGCGAGAATAATAAGCTCATATTGAATTGAACTGAGCGCTTCGCTTTGGCTGGAATGTGTCCTTGAAAGCTGATAATGATTCTTGTTTCCCTACTTGAGCCGCCAGAAGAAGAGAAAGCGCTTGCAGTTACTGCCTCATCTGCAGAGTTCTGCTGCTCAGAACGGTTGCAGTTGGGTTTGTCAGTGGTGCGGCATCGGGTACCTGGTGTAGGATTAAAATCAGATTTCTCCAGGCTTCTTCCAACTTTTTTGTTTTTCCTGGCCCTACTCTGGGACTTACCCTTCTTGCTCTCACCACCAGAACCTCTTTCTTCCTGTCTTACCAGGAGGTTGTGAGGGCTGCTGAAGATGTCAAATAGTCTGGATGCTGAAGAAAAACCTCCAGCCCCTCCACTGAGAATGAACAGCAACAACCGCGATTCTTCAGCAGTGAACCACGGCTCCAAACCTCTCCCCATGGCTCCAGAAGAGAAGAACAAGAAAGCTCGGCTCCGTTCCATCTTTCCAGGAGGGGACAAAAGTAATGTATCAGCAATGCAAAGGGCTTCCGGCCCTCTCCTATTCTGTTGGTTTCATGTCTGCTTTTCTTGAGTGTTCAGCTACATTGCTTCTTAATAAAAAGGGCAATTAAAATTGCCAGAGACTTATGGGTCTCTAATGCCATTGTTTGGAAAGAGGTGCTGTTTAATTTTTGCTGGAATTGTTTGGTGCATGCAAATTTAGAGTTGGAAGAAGGGGTCTGGGTTTCTTGGAACTGAGCACATAGGGAGCTGATGGCTCATAGGAACTATCTTTGCAGTGAAATCCTTCTTGCCATCAGAAAATAGGGTGTTGGCGGCTATGGTGGGAGAAAATAGGGTGTTGGCTATGGTGGGATATAGGAAAGCCCAGGCTAGATCACAGAATTGTAGATTTGGAAGAAACCAAGGGGACACCTAGCTCAATCCCCTGCAATGCAAAGCGAGGGTTTTCTCAGTTGTTGTATTCAGCTATTGGAATCTGCTCTTCTCTGAAGTGCAACAGGCACAAACCTTAATTGTGTTTTGATGCCAGTCTTAAGACCTATCTTTTTGATCAAGCATTTGTTGATTGATAGCTTTTAGTAATATCTTGGCTATGCTTTTCCTCCGTGGTTTTTGTTGTACTGTACTGATGTTTTGAGTCACTGTTGTTTTAATTAATTTATTGGTTTAATTATTATTTATACCCACCTTTCCTCCATGGAGCTCAAGGAGGCCCTCATGGCTTCTCCCCTACCTTCTTCACCCCCACAACAATCCTGTGGGACAGGCGTGTTGGTCTTTTTATGCTTGTAATGTTTGCTCTTTAGGGGAAGTGCCTCCACTGCAGCGGTTCTCAACCTGTGGGTCCCCAGATGTTGTTGGACTACAACTCCCACCATCCCTGGGCTCTAGCCTTGCTAGCTAGGGGTGATGGGAGTTGTAGTTCAACAACATCTGGGACCCACAGGTTGAGAAAGGCTGCTCTACAGGGTTTCCTATTGTCTGGAATCTTTTTAGCTGGAAATTCTGGCATTTGAACATGGAACCTTCTGTATGCAAAGTATATGTTTTTCTACTGAGTCTTTCCTCATGAGTTTGGCTCCCTCTACAGTCTCTCCTCATAAGTTTGGCTCCCTCTCCATACTTTGATGAAGGAAGGACACTTGCAGGATGAGGCCCCTATTCCCTTCACAGGCCTACAATTCTCAGATTGCCTGAGGAAGCTGGGTTGATTGTTAAACCATTTTGGGAATTGTAGCTCTGTAAGTGGTCTTCTAATGACCCTCAGAAGTTTAACAAACTACAGTTCTTAGGATTTTTTGGGGAAGCAATGGCTGTTGAATGTGGGGTGATACTGCTTTAAAGTATAGTGCCTCAATTGAGAAGAGGTGTGTGCCAGTTTCCCTTACTGAAGCATGAGCACTTAATTGATATTTAAAGGGAAGCAGTGGCCAGTTCTCTCTGGACCCACGTACCTACGGGACCACCTTTCCTGGTATGCCCCGCGGATGACCTTAAGGTCCACAAATGACAACATTTTGGAGGTCCCAGGTTGCAAAGTGGTTAGATTGGTCTCAACTAGGGCCAGGGCCTTTTCAGTACTGCCCCCGACTTGGTAGAACGCTCTGTCACAAGAGACTAGTGCCCTGCAGGACTTGACATCTTTCCGCAGGGCCTGCAAGACGGAGCTGTTCTGCCTGGCCTTTGGTTTGGACTCAGTCTGACCCTTATGTTTCCCTCCCTTTATGGTCTTGATTTATTGGCTACTTTTAAAATGAGGCTGCATTTTAAATTGCATTTTAATCTGTATTTTAAATTGCCCCCCATTATGTTTTTACTGTGATTTTATTGGTGTTAGCTGCACTGAGCCCGGGGAGGGCGAGGTATAAATAAAATTTATTATTATTATTGTTGTTGTTATTATTAATTTTGTAACAACGTTTCACCACCCATTTATATAGATTTGACTGTTCTTTTAAACTTTACACGATGACCCTTTAAACCTACCGTAATTTTTGCTCCATAAGACACACTTTTTCCCTCCTAAAAAGCAAGGGGAAATGTGTGTGCGTCTTATGGAGCAAATGCATGCGGGAGGCTCTGCTCAGCACTGCCTTTAAAAGAGCCGCTTGGCGCGTGTGTGTGGTTTTGGGGGGCTTTTCCCCAAGGAGGGAGAAGGGCAGCCCATCACTGATGGGCTGCCCTTCTCCCTCCTCAGGAAAAACCCCCAAGAGCCGCACACATGCTCCATGTGGCTCTTTAAAGGGAGCACGGCTCTTGGGGGCTTTTCTGGGAGTGGGGGAAGGGACTGACAGGCTGCCCTCTGTCCCTTCCCCCAGCTCCCGGAAAAGCCAGCAAGAGCCACACGCTCTTTAAAGATCTGGGCTTAGTGTGTGTGCAGCTCTTGGGGGCTTTTCCCCGAGGAGGGAGAAGGGACTGATGGGCTGCCCTTCTCCCTCCTCGGGGAAAAGCCAGCAAGGGACAGAGGGCAGAAGGCAGCCCGTCAGTCCCTTCTCCCACCTCGCGGAAAAGCCTCCAAAAGCCGTACACATGCTATACACGGCTCTTTAAAGGGAGCGCTGAGCACAGCCTCCCACCTGTGTTTGCATCTGGGATGCATACAGGCTCTGCTCAGCGCTCCCTTTCAAGAGCCGCGTGGAGCGTGTGTGCGGCTCTTGGGGACTTTTCCGCAAGGTGGGAGAAGGGACTGATGGGCTGCCCTCTGTCCCTTCCCACACCTCCCAGAAAAGCCAGCAAGAGCCGCTGCCAGGCTCTGTTCAGCGCTCCCTTGTAAGGGCTCCCTTTTGTCCCTCATCCCGCTTTGCTGGGAAGCCCGCAGAAGAGGTGCTGCGCAGGTAACGCTCTTGCTCTGCTGGCTTCAGCGAGAGCTGCACAGCTTGCTCTGCTGGCTTCTCAGCGAAGCGGGAGGAGGGACAGAAGGGTTTAAAGCAAAAAAAAGTGAGAGCTGCTTACATGCTCTGCGCAGAATATTTTTTTCTTGCTTTCCCCCTCTAAAAACTAGGTGTGTCTTATGGTCAGGTGTGTCTTATGGAGCGAAAAATACGGTACTTTCTGCCACAATGGTGAGAGTGTAATGAGAGGCCAAGACTGTTTTCTTATCTGCTGTTCAGAGTGATGCAAACTGAAAAGATAGGACAACTTGTTGCAGGCCATCTCTTAGCTGAAAATTAAAGTGTGAACACATTATAGATCTTAAAAAGGGCTGGGAGACTGGAGAGAAGCATGGGGTCTGGAAGGAGTTGCTCTGGCATGCTGAGATGGTATATTGTTGCTGCCTCTAACAACTGCTGCAGGAAAACTATTTATCAATTAATATAAGTGTGAAGGTTGGAATCCTGGGCAGAAATTGTAGCCAGATAATTGTTTAGTAAGGGTTTAGCAATTAAATTAATAAGGATGAATGTAACATTTGGGATTAGTTCATGCACAGTGTTTTTGAGTACATGTGAGCATTCCAGATTGCTCCTGGAGACATTTGTATCTGCCGTACATGGATTCAAACCGTCAGGCCATTTATTCTTGGATATTGTCTGTTCTGACTGGCAGCAGCACGCCAGGAACTTAGGTGGGTGGTATCACCCTCCCAGGTGAGAAGAGGGGTGACCTGGATGTTTCTGTGTATAAATGGCTATCATACTTTGAAAAGCTGGCATCCTTGGATAACTCAAGTTTTTTTGAGTTAATTCAACTAAGTAGTTTTCATTGGATTTTGAATAAATGTGCAATTAATTGTTACTGTTTTGAATGTTACAGGGTTATTGTCTTCTTTAGTGGGTTGTGCAAACTGCTATTATGAATATTGCTTTTTATAAGGTAGGGCTGGGGTCACTGGGGATGAGTTTATGGAACCAAAGGGAGGGGCTGAAAAGGTTTGGGAACTACTGTCCTTCATGAAGCATGACTAAGTCTGGATCCAGCCCTGAGGAAGCTGCCTTAAACAGAGTCCACTTAGCTTGGTCTTGTTGACAATGGCTATTGGTTGCAGCTCTTCAGAGTTTCACAGGAATCTACTCCAACCCTACCTGGAGTTGTTAGGGATTGAATCTGGTACCTTTTGCACACGAAGCCTTGGGTTCTGCCACTGAGTTATTTCCCATCGCCCAGCAGTTTTTTTAATGAACATCACAACAGTTAAGAGGAAAGAGCTGTAGCTCAGCTGTAGAGCAACTGCTTTATATGAAAAAGATCAATCTTTGGCATTTCCAGGTAAAGCTGGGAAGGATTCCTGTCTGAAATGTTGGAGAGTAGCTGCCATTCAGCGTTAGCAGCCCAGGACTAGGTGGACCAATGGTCTGATTCTGTACAGCTAACTCCCCATTTACATGAATTCATACGCACATCACTCCGAACCTGGCAGTGACCCAAAAAATCACAAAAAGGGGTGGAACAGGGTGTTTACAGGCTTTCTCAATGACGTTTCAAATATATGTGATTTCACTTAAATGCACAGTGCCTTGGAAGGTAACCACTGCATAAATTGGGAGTTGTCTGCATAAGGCATGAGTGGTATCTAACTAAGTTCTACTTAGAATAGACCCATTGAAATTAATGGACCCAAGTTAGCCATGTTGGTTAATTTCATGGTTCTCTTCTGAGCAAGACTATCATTGGATACAATTCCATGTCTTTGTGTTTACTTTCTTTCTACCTGAAGGAATTAGATGCTGCAAGGCTGCCTAGGGAGGGCTTTTGCGGAGTGGGTACATCTCTACTTCTTTAAAGGTGGTGGGTTCCACCCTGTTGTATAAAGGTATATTAACCACTCTCTGCATCACCCTGATTGCATGAGGGCTTTGTCTGAAGTCCTTAACAATTGTGCCTCAGTGAAGTCTACATTTCATTCACTCTTTTATGCAACAAAAAGGCTGCAAAGGAATTAGACCTGGCACTCTTGAGCTGACCTTGTTTCTTCTAATAAAGAGTTAACTTCGCTTACTTTGTGTGATATATTCCTGACAATCGCCCCTGACAACCCCATGGAGGCTGTTCATACCTTTTGGGTTTAAATGATACATTATCAAGTAATGCACATGCCCTTAGCTTACAGGAGCAGTGTTCTGTAAAGTTGCATTTTTGTGGACATTTACCAAAGCAAGCCCCCTAGGACTTAATTATGAACAAACATGAATAGGATTGCACTATTATGGTGCTGTTTCATTATCCAGCCTGGATTTTGCAGTCAAGGGTCCTTCTGGATTAAATTCTATCCTCCTACTTTCCATATCTTGCTTTGAATAAGCCTGACTGTAAAATGCATAAAAAATAATTACGCAGGAAAATAAGTGCTTGTTAACATTTTACTTCTAGCCAATAAGAAGAAGGAGAAAGAACGTCCTGAAATCTCTCTCCCTTCAGACTTCGAGCACACGATCCATGTGGGGTTTGATGCAGTCACTGGGGAATTCACAGTAAGTCATCTTTTTGTCCTCTGTTTGCTTCATTGCAAACTTCCTTGGCTAAATTGGCTTTCTTTGCAGCCATTTGTTCTGTGCAGACCTCACTTGCGTGCAGAGTGAACATGTGTATGGGAGGTGGTGGAATCACACCTGCCAACCTTGCAAGGGTTGCTGATCACACTCACAGAGCTCACACACATCCTACTTTGGATGCAAATGAGCTCTAGTGACGGGAAACCTACAACCCTCCAAATGTTGCTGGGCTTCAACTCCCATGATCCGTGACCATTGGTTATGCTTTGTTGGGCCTGTTGAGAATTGGGAGCCCCAACAGCATCCAGAGGGCCACAGGTTCCCCACCCCTGCTCTATGCTGACATTATGCTAGGTGCAGACAGAAATTGGGGGGCTGCCAAGCACAATCCCACTCCCCTCCTGTGCACATTTGCTCTACACGCAAGTAATGTCTCCTTAGGCTATCCCCTTACCCACATAGGAGGAAGGTAGCTAGATTTCCTTGCGTGACACTTGTGTACTTTTGAGTATTCTACTGCAAACAATTGTTGCTTAATTCTCCCCACTCCATGGGTTGCTTGTTATGGACTGCAAACTATGGAAACTCCGGGGAAAGAGCTGAAGATGCTCTATGGATATATTCTGTAGGATAGTTTTATTTATTTAGAAGATTTATAAACCAGTTGATCAAGGAGCTCTCCAAGTGGGCTATAAATGCAATTGTGCAAATAAAACACAACTAAAACCCAGAAACCAATTTTCACAACAAATATAGGTAACTAAGTTATATAATTGGGTTGGCTTGTAGAAACAAAGCTTTTCAGCAGGTGTCCCTAATGAGGGCACCAGCCCAATGTCAATGGGCAAGGAGTTTCCATAGCACTTTAGGAATAAATAACTACTCTTTTAAACACAGACCTGTGATCTCAACAGACAGCCTGTAGGTTTATATCCAACTCTCTTATGAGCTGGTATAGAAACCACACATTTCATGCAGACTAGCACCCTGGTTAACATTTTGCCACCTAACTGTGGCATATGACATAGATTGCCAATTTAAAAATGCTGGCCAAACATGGTGCAGGTAGAGTTTGTGGCATTTCTGGACATGAGCAGAAAGGCCTATAGACCTCTGTATGGCACTGAGCCAGGCTTACAGCTATGCCTGCCCCTTCTATGCTGCACTGTGGCGTGTTCTCCCGGTAATTGCCTTCCATGTGTTCTGATAAACAAGATGTGAGCTTAAAAACTAGAGCTAGAAGAGGATTTGGTGCCATCACAATCCTCTCCTTATAATGGCTCTCCAGAGTAGGATTATTTCCCCTTTCCCCACGTGCTTCCCTTACCTTTTAAGTATGCCTTCCCTTGCTGTCCGCTAATCAATCATTCTTCCCCACAGAAGGAAAGAATTCTGCTAACACTCAAAATAGCATTGTGGGATTGTTTAAATCATGGACCCCAGTAGGCTGCAGTTGTACCCATTGATTCTCTGGCTTTTCGCCCTTCGCCTAAAGCACTTGAGAAGGACATGGGAGCCCAGAGATCTTTTAATTGTAGCTGGGATGGAGTTTAACTTCATTCTTGCACATTTCTCAAACATCCCAAGAAAGATACTTGATAAGGATTTAATGACGAGTGCTTGAGGAATTTGATTTCTGTGAATTCCGATGTGAGCTGACTTCATCCTCATCAAAAGGATTGATGTGTAGATTACAACTACTTATCCTTCTGGTTTTGCACTTTTCCAAAATCTGTGACATAGTTTTTCCATCAGAAAGCAAACCAACAAGCAAAACAAAACATGTTACAAAGGTGAATTTTAGCATAAAAATTGTTCAGAGATACATATATTGATGCAAAATACATATTTTGTAATAATATATATTTTATGTTGAATATTTGTGTCATTTTTTTTAAAAAAATCACAGATTAATGAATAAGCAGGGTGGAGATGGGTTATGAACAAACATGTGTGGAATTGATATGGAACAGAAATAGATTGATCCAACCATCCCTAGATTTAATGCTTGATCTCTGTAGATGACCAACCCCCTTCTCCCATATAATTAATCTATCTTTCAAAAGATTTTAAAAAAACACACTTCATATGTGTTTCAAGAGTCACTGGATTTGGGAAATACCCATTTTATTCATGTCAAAATCAATCAATTTTAGTGATTGAAAATATTCTTTGTGAGTAGGTATTCTAGAAACATGAGGAGTTGCAATGCTTTCTTCAGCTACTTATCCTCATAACTGAGTGATTATTCTCTTCCTTCAGGCATTTATTTTCTTTCTCACTTGACTAGGAGAAATGAAACTATTATTTTCTGATGCCTAAGCAACTTTCCCTAACTTGAGATGTTTTGGACCACAGCTCCCATCAGCCCCTGCCAATATGGCTGTGCAGGTTGGGCCTGATGGGAGATGTAGTCTAAAACCTTGGAAGGCACCAGGTTGGGCAAGGCTGCACTAAGGGATATAGACCTCAGACCCTAACATATAAATCGTAAGTATGGTATTGGGGAACACATTTCCTTGTGGCTTGATTCCATGGTGTTATGGTTAACATTTAGATGAAGAAATCAAGTAGGGTGGATGGATCAGATGGAAAGGAGCAGAGTCAGCATTGCCAGCCCCCAGCGTGGCCCTCTGCTTTTATGGATTATTCCCCATGTGCTTTTTCATCCCATGATTCTTCAGTCTGAATTTTACCAGAGTGACAGTGTGGGATCCAGCAACAAGAGTAGCTTTCATGATACAGCATTAATGCATTAAATTGTGTCTGTTTTAGTTCCCTGATCTTTCTTGTAAGATTCCCTGAAATTAAGATTTATTTTAACAGAGAGAGAGAGAGAGGAAAAGGTTGAGGTTTTTGATACAAAATTGTTTATTGAGTAGCCCTCAGGAGTCATAGTTGCTGCACCTGACTGTTAACACCAAGTTATGGTGATCATCAAGCTAGTTCATCTTGGTGATCAGTTTGCACAGCAAGGGAACATAAGTATCCTTGGAATCACATGGGAATTTCTGTTTCCTGAAGAACCAGATCTTCTTAGCTCCATAACCACAGCTGGTTCAGTTAATTAGCTATGGGTCTGTGACATCCTGAGCTTTTCCTTATTTCCTTTATATGTTGGTAAGTATATTGTGACAAGGGTTCTGCCACATCACCAAGCCTCTTAACAAAAGTATTTCCACAGTGTTCACATTTTTTTCTCTATCTCTCAGAAGTTTGGAAGTGTCAGGGGATTGTTCAAAACAAATGTTCCTTCTTCATTTTAGAGGATTGCAGTAGCTGCCATGCCTGATCTGTTGGTTATGTGCCATGCGCAATGTGCAGCGTGCACAGTTTTACTCCAACACATAATGCCAGCCAGTGTTCTGGATGGATTCCCTGTTACTCATTGCTGCATCCAAAATCACAGCTGGGGATACCTGCTGCATGGGCTTTGAAGTCTGGCTTTCAGTCATTAGCATCCAATGACATGATGCTGATTGTCACAAATGCATGTCCGAATTCCCATTTTGTTTCGCTTGGAGCCACCACAAGTAGCAGAAATTGGGACACAGAGCACTAAATTCAATGACTGAAAATGATTAGGCAAAAGAAGCATGCTTCTGAGGCCTATAGATAGTTATGGTGAAAAAGTTGGTGCACTAATAAGGTGGGGAAATTTTGTTTTCCACTATTTTTGAATGAGAATTCTGCAAAGCATGCCTTTTAATGAGACAGATCTGCATTCCCCGTCTAGAGGGAAAACTGGCTGCAACTCAAACTCATAAAGGTTCCCATTTCAAAAACAAAAGGAAATGATGGATTTAGGTTGTATAAAGTCAAGTGGCATATATATATATAAGTGGCATATATGTATGTTGCCAAGAGTTTTCTCTCTGGCATTATGTTTGGCATAATTTGGTTTGACCCTGTTTGCAGACTCCAAAAACAAAACAAAAATCCAGAATTGGTTGATTTTTCCATTCGCAGCATTTGTGTCCATTCGTACCCTGGCTATTTTTGAAAAACAGTTTTTAATGATTCCTAAAGTCAGATGAGTCCTGAACAACTTTAGGCTGAAATTCTAACCCTGCTTGCCTGGGAGTAAGCCCCACTGAATTCAGTAAGGCTTATTTCTGAGTAGACATGGTTAGGGTTGCACTGTCAATGGGATGTAAACCCCACTGGACTTGCTGACCCTTACTTTTAAACAAGCTTGCATGGGATTGCATTGTAAATGTTACACAGAGACCTTTCAGAATTACCAAGGTGGGTTTAAGCATGAAAGAATTCTTAGAAGAAGGCTCTTTGTACCCGCCACAACTGTTTTAATACTGAATATTTGATCCAGTCACTTGGCAGTATGATTTTTCCAGTGAGCAAGCAAACATCCCACAACCTGGTTAAAATGGGGAATTGCTGCTTCCAAACTTTGGACTTAATTGTGATTTATTTCCTCCCCCCTTCTGTTTTTCATAGTCTGTCTTCCTGTAGCCTGTCAATGACTACTACTTTGTTTGCTACTTCCCTCGTTTTAGACTGGGTTACCCTCACACACACAACCTTGACCTTCCCTGCCCCATTCCGACCCATTGGATTTCACCTCTTTCCCACCGTCTGAGTTGTCCCACATTCTGTTTTAACTTTCTTTTCTTTCTTTATTTACGTCCATTGCAGCCAGATCTCTATGGCTCACAGATGTGCACAGGGAAGTTTCCAGAGGTGCGTCACAGGCCCAAAAGAAGCTTGCATCCAAGTGCTTCTTTGAGATGTCATAGCACTGCAGCGGCAGGTTCCGTGTGTGTGCAGTAGATTTCGTTGCTTGGCTTATTCCAACTTTTTCATCGTTAACCCCAAACTCCAAAGGCCCATGTCACATCTCATTTTTGCAGAGAACCTCGTAGGAGGAAGGGGGGGGAAACCCCCAGTTTTGTTAGAATGTTAGCTGTAAGCTGGGGTGGCAAAATAAAGGGATGCTTTGATGCACTTCAAGTGAGTCACTGCTTCAATGTTAATTGTGCTGCTAAGGGGTGGGGGAGACGGTCGCTCCTTGAATTTAGGAAATTATACTGGATGTTCCAAGACAACTTTCTCGGAAATCAAAATACCTCAATACAAACTTATAATATTTTGTACTTTGGTGGATGCAGCCACTGCTCCTAATTCCTGCAGTATTATTATTATTTATAATAATAATAATAATTAATAACATTACACAGTAGGGGGAAGGAGTGGGGAAAGAGGGTGTATTTAAAGTCCCAGCTACCTTATATAACTTAGCACCACCATTTTGATTCCAAATTGCAGCTCCTCCTTTGAAGTAGGGAAAATGTCCTTGAGTGGGCAGTTAATGCGTCAGGAGGTAGCTTTGACTCCGGTAGCTTTGACTTCGGTAGCGTCTGCTTTTATCATCTGAGTAGAAAGCATTTATCTTGTTATGCATGAGCTATCCAGTGTAAGCTTCCTAAAGCACCCGTGTTGTCCTCCAGTGTAGAGTAGTGTTTCGTTTTCTGTCCTGAAGCACCAGGGAAATGAGATAAGCTTTGCCGCCATTGGTCCATGGATCAGCAAGAGTTGAATTAACGATGAGCTTCATGCACCTTTTTTTCCTGTCACAGTCATAACTTTTTGGTTTTTTTTTTTAAGTTGGATCCAGGTTTTAGCTCTTTGTTTTAATAGAGGATGAGAGAATGATTGCACCTGCTGTAAAGTGTCTAGCTTTTTAAACTCTTGGGCATCAATCAAAGGCTCCAAATGTAATATTACAGGTAGCGTGGGATTCTTGGTAAGGAACTGTGCTGGCAGAATATAAACGCTGATGAAATGCCCTGAATCGTCATCCTTTCCACTTGCTCTTCACAGGGGATTCCGGAGCAGTGGGCTAGGCTGCTGCAGACCTCCAATATAACAAAACTGGAACAGAAGAAGAACCCTCAAGCTGTTCTGGATGTCCTCAAATTCTATGATTCCAAAGAGACAGTAAACAACCAGAAATATATGAGCTTTACATCCGGAGGTAAGGAGGCAATGATGGCGGAGAAGACACCATCAGAACCTAAAGAATAAAAAATCAATAAAAAGTTTAAAAATAAAAAAATACTAGATAAGGGAAGAATGACCCACAGACTTTATATGGATATAAATCTCAGCTATGCTTTTTTCTCTTGTGTGAGACTCAGGCTCATGTGCTTCCTCCTTCCCATTAACCTCATTAGTGTTGTGCCTGAATTGTAAACCATGGTTAAACTTCAGTATGGTTTATTAAAACAAGCTAGCTTCATAAACTACAATTTGTATTCGGTTTGTTTCAGTAAACCATAGTTAGTTAGGACAAACCACAGTTTGTCTTATGTTAAAATAATATGCTAAATTGTGTTCCCAGTTCTCTAGATGAGGTTCTAGATGGCATAGAATCTTCTAAGCACACCAGTCCAAATTCACTTAGAAGGCCTCTTCAGATCAATTTGGGAAGGTTGGTGTGGCACACACAGGACAAGGACATAGGAGGGGGATAGTGTGTATGCCCTCGTGGTAGGTGAAGAGTGCCTCAGGGAAAGCATGGAAAGAGGGAGCACAATGAAACTGTACTTGAGATGACCATTGGTGATGGGGGGGACGGGACTCAGAGACACACAACAGGACGAAACAGGAGAGAATGGGGAGAAGAGCTGGAGAGGGGAGGGGAGCAAAGTGGGCTGCAAAAAGGGAGCAAGGTGTTAACAGCTTAGAGGGGCAGTGAACCAAGAGGGAAGACAGTGTAGAAAGACAGTACAGCACGGCACAGCACAGCACAGCACATGGCTCCACCTGGTTGCCTTGAGGGACTTTGGCCCAGGGAGCTGAGTGTGCCACTAGAGAAGTCTTAATACAGTTTTGAAGCCTAACTCCAAGACATAACCCTAGGGTGTATCCCAGGGATCACCAGTGTAGCACTTGTGGATGCAGTGGTCTTCTTTCGCTGCCCACAAAGCCTCTGAGCACACACACTGCCCCCTTGGTCATGAGAAGGTGATAATGGTTGCATTTTTCTGCTCCAGAAAGTACATAGAGCTGAAGCTGGAAGTTGGAAGCACAACACTCTTTTGCACTTCCTTTTTCAGCTCTCTGTGCTTTTCAAGGCTAGAATTTATTCTACAGGCAATTGCTTTTCCCCAGATCCTTTGGAAAAGTGAAGCCTGTGTTCTACCTGCTTTTTCATGATCTGGGAGAGGGAAGTGACATGGGATGGTGATGTCCTTGGGTCTCAAAAGATTGATGACTCCTGCTGTACACCCTTCTTCTTACTTCCTTTTGGAAGAACCCCGCTGAGGCTCACTGCTATGCCTAACCTCTAAGAACACTTAATAATAATTTTATGGGGGGGGGGAAATATAATTATATTAATACAATAAAAAACAAACTAATCTAAATGAAAATAAAAACAGAAAGAGAAAGAGAAAATGCAAAGCCCTCCCTCAAACATAGATCTTAACCCTTGCTCCACACAGAAAGGGGTAGGCCCACATAGCTCTCACCTGAGAGCTTCCCTTTCTTCTCCCAGCCTTCAACCCTGGGAAATCTTCCCTTCCCAGCTTTTCACACAGGGTCTTTCACCAACCATCGATCACCTTCATGTGTGTACCATTCCCTCATTGAGCCAGAGTAGACAACACATGCACACACAAAACAGAAGCAAGAGCAAAACAAAAAAAGGGGTGGTTATGCAAAAGAGATCTCACAGGCTTTTGATTTCCTTTTTTAAACTAAACAGCAGCATGGGAGGTTGTGATTGGAAGCAAATGAGTAGTATAGGGGAGGGTTTGACCCTGTCCAACATTGCCACACATGTGTCATCTCCTAACTGCCCTGTAGCCATTTAGGCTCAATGAAGCTATTGAGAACTTTTGTTGTTGCACGTTTCAGATAAAAGTGCCCATGGATATATCGCAGCCCATCCTTCGGTGAGTATAAGAACCTACTGTTGAACATGAACTAATCTCCATTTTTGGGGGGGGGGAATAGTGTCTCTGCTGAGATTTGTGGCTTGATGTGATTTGCAGTTGGCTCGGAATACCAGTTTCTGGGAATCAAAAATATAGGGGAGTGCTGTTGTGCTCATGTCCCACTTGCAGGTTTTCCATAGAGGCCTCTGGCTGGCCACTGCAAGAACAGGATGTTGGAATAGATGGTCTCCATTTGGACTAATCCAGCAGTCAGGCTTTTCTTATGTCTTTTTGCTTATAGGAATGCTTGAAATAGCAGTGTGTAATTAATGAAAATTGAATCTCAGCAAAACCCCCAAAAGTACAATTAAAGCAATCCCTATCAATACTGAGTTCTCAGTATGAATGTCTTATTTTCCATGCTGAATGGTTGAACTAGGACTTTCCTTCCCTCTTCTTATTCTTTTTAATGCTGATATACTTAATATTATGGACTCAATTACGCAACAGAGGCCATGCAACGGGCAGTCGAGAAATAGTATGGAAATGCTGGTAGAAGAGTAGAGACCCTTTTCGGATTATCTGAGAAAACACTATAGCCAAATGAAATCATAGGCAGGACTTGAAATATAAGCAAAGGAGTGAGAATGATAAAGGAATGTAATGTACGATGTATCTTTTAGAAAAAAAGTATTGCATTTAAAGCAGTAAATAAAAGATTTAAAAAGAAACATCATGGAAGGTAAGGATGGGAAGTCAAGATGCTAGGAATATTGTATTGAAACTGAATTAAATTTCGTAAATTGTATGAAAATCAATAACAGACCATTTAAAAAGAGAGAAATAGTGTTTGCTGCACGGTCTCTATGAGAACAAGTGGCGGGCCGAAATGAGTTCCCTGTAATGAATTCTGCAAGCATCTCATGAAATGAGAATTCCTCTTTTCCTTTTCCTTTGCCATTGTTTTGTTTTTTTTAAATAAGTATGCCATCTTTGACTGTGAAGGGAAAATGACAATGATGAAGCCATAAAGAACTCAAATGGCTTCTTGAGCAGGCCTCTTTTTGCAGATGTGGCTCTACCAGGAGAATCTTAAAGCTCTGTCAGAATGCTCTAAATGAGATCATGGGCAGGCAGAAGTGGCTTCCCAGGTGGCATGGAGTCACTGGGTAGCTTCCCGGCAGGTGAGTTGTTGTTGCTTACCAAGAGGGAGAGAGGCGAGGTGGTGGTGACAAAGACACCAGTGGAGCCAATACAGCACTCCACCCTGGTACGTAATAACAACCCACCTGGGAAACTAAGCGTTGCAGCTCTTCCCCACCCAGCAAACCACTTCTGTTCATGGGACAAATACATTCCAAAAAAGTCAGATCACTGCAAACTCCCTTTTGGTGTAGCCATGTTTTTTTCCTGCTCCACACCTGAGGTCATGTGTGATTTCAGGTACAGGGCAGGTAGACCTCACAGGCCAAGTGGGTAACCTGGTGGACCTAATAAGGCCTGCGGACCACAGACCCCCGGCCCTTGTCCTACAGCCAGACCTCTTCATGTTCTGATAGTAATCCCGTAAACAGCTGAAGCCTCATTTTATGAATACTTTTTTTGCACATACAGAGCACAAAGACTGCATCAGAACCTCCACTGGCTCCTCCAGTTTCCGAAGAGGAGGATGAGGAAGAAGATGATGATGATGATGACAATGAGCCACCACCTGTTATTGCCCCACGACCAGAGCATACAAAATCAGTGAGATGCTAGCAGTTTTAGTTTGAATTGTTGTCTGTATGGTAGGACCAGGTCTGCGTATTTGCCCTTGTTCAGCAGGAATGCATAGGGTTGGGGGTGGCGAAGGGGCACCGAATCTGGTGGTGATGCAGAATGCGAGCTTTTGGGAATCTCTGCTTTCCATGAATGTCTAGCCCTTATGGCTGCGGAGACACACAAAGTGCGGTCTGGTGAAATTTTGTTAGCCGGGTAGCCTGAAACAGCTTTTTTTTAAACAATCCCCAGAGAAGTATCTCTGTGCAAATTTCCAGGTTTAACCCCTCTTGGCACAGAAATTGGACTGCCTCTGTGCTAACTTTTTAGCTGGTTTTGCTCAGAGCACACACTGCCTATGGCAAAGCCAGTAGCTATTATGAGCCATGGAGGAAAATTCATTTTGAAGGAACAACTTTGAGTTTAGTACCCAGTCTTAGGATTTTCGTTTGTAGGAAACTATGGCAGTCAGGTAGCTCTGCTCTGAGATTTATCACTTAATCCCAAGCTTTTCTGCATTGTGTGAAAAGGCATAGCAGAGCTCTTGGTTCAGGGTGTAATGTGTAAATTGAACAGTGTAATGGAAGTCTTGAAATCCATTATCTGCCTGTCAGGAGCTTAAATTAAACCTTTAGAGAGAAAGCAATATAATATTTGTGAAAGCACAGGAGACAATTAAAGTGTTTCCTTGTATGTAGCTCATTGGCAATTCATTGTTGTTCAATTTCCCCAAGTTCACAATGGAATTAAGGTATTTCCCGCCATTGTTTCTTTCAGATTTACACACGTTCTGTCATTGAACCTGTTGCGGCTCCAGCCCCAGTGAAGGAACCTACAACCCCTCAGCCTGAGAATTCCAACTCCAACACCTTGTATAGAAATACAGATCGGCAGCGGAAAAAATCCAAGATGACTGATGAGGAGATCCTAGAGAAATTAAGTGAGTGTTTCGCCCTTGCTTGCACACTATTGATACTTGACCACAAATTTATCAAGGAGAAATCTATCAATGGGTACCCAGCCATAATAACCAAGTGGAACCACCATGCAGTCTTCCTCAAAGTACCAGCTAGTGGGAGGACACATATCTAGAGAGAGGACTAGACCTCCTTGCTATTCTCCCAAAGATATCTAGGTGGCTGCTGTCTAAGACAGGATGCTTGATTGGGTGGTTTTTGGGTCAAATCAAGCACAGCTGTTCTGTTCTTCTCATCCACCAGACTAGATAATCTGAATGAGTCTCCCAGGTTTCTGATTCCAAATGCTAATGGCCACTCTCATTGAAGCCAAGAGTTGCAAGCAAGCTATTTTTACATGAGATCTCTCATGAGACGACAACTCTTATGGATGAGCATTATTAATGAGGCACAGCAACAATTGCCTGCCTGCCCCACATCTCCAAGCCTTTCCTTCCTTGATTGATTTTTGGTTGTTTCATGATTGTCTGCTTTTTCTCTCTCCTCCTTAAGAATGTAATGTATGCCTGATTAAGGTGTCTGAGTAGTTGCCTTCCAGCCAACTTTCAGCTGCAGATTGAAAATCCAATGGAATTTCAAACAGTCTTCTGAAACATGATGTACTGCATTTGTCTGTATGACTGAGAGCTAATTAGGAAAATAATTAAGAATTAATTAACCAAGCTTTATGTTTGGAACCCAGGTGGTGCATCCCACCCCCCCTAATTTTCTTCCTTCTTTAATATCTTCGGGATTGACCTCCACCCACCTTCAGAAAGATGCCACACAGCTTTGTTTGATCTCTAAATGAGATTGACTCTTAGGAAAAAATAAATAGATACCAGTATCACATACAGTGGCACCTCGAGTTACAAACACCTCAGGTTACAAACGCTTCAGGTTACAAACTCTGCTAACCTGGAAGAGTTACCTCGAGTTGAAAACTTTTGCTCCAGGATGAGAACAGAAATTGTGTGCCAACGGCGCAACGGCAGCAAGAGGCCCCACTAGTGAAAGAGCGTCTCTAGTTAAGAACAGTTTCAGGTTAAGAATGGACGTCCGGAACGAATTAAGTTCGTAACTAGAGGTACCACTGTATAAGGCCTTATTCCACCTTGCCATGCATCGTATTGTACCAATACCCTCTGGCTCTCCAAAGGGGATCTGAACATTGAAGCAGTGGACTCCTGGAGGCAGAAGCTAAAGAGACCTCTGCTTACCCAGAACTCCTGGGAACACAGGAATCTGCCTTATGTGAAGTAAAACTATTATCCCATCTAGCTCCATATTGCCTACACTAACTGGCAGCAACTTGGGCAGGAGTATTTTCTAGCCCTACCTGGAGATGCTGCCAGGGGTTAAACCTGGGTGCAAAGCAGCTGCTCTGCCACTGAGCTATGGTCCTTGTTGGGAAAAAGTAGGGTGCTAGAAGCTGTCCTTGTAGTCTTGCCCTTTGGGCTGTTGCACAGAACCAGAAGAGGTCAGGTGTGTGCAAAGTCTATTCACTACTGAATTGGCACATTAGTTGGAATGGGTGATATCAATAATAACATGAAAGGATGGGTGGAAGGGGGAAGTACTGCTACCCAACTTTGTTACCCTCACCTGTATGAAGCTTTAGAGCTTACCAGTTATAATTATTAACTGCCTGGCCTTTCCCCCTTGTGAATGCAACAGAATATTCTTCCTGTTACATGCCCCGCTCTAGTAACTAATCACAGAGTATTCGGGTTTTGCATATTCTCTGTATCAGAGTATTGCATATTCTCTGCGGGAGTTTGGATCTCAGCATCTTTCTTCTCCCTTCACACTGAATTTTCCTTCAGCATAGCCCGTCATGTTGTAACTCCCATGGTTCCTTAAGTTGCCACCTGCTGTCCTTCCCTGTCTACTGCAATATTCAGGCAGTTTTTTATTTCTACTTTTGAAAGCACCTAAATATCATGACCAAGGTCGTTTTCAGTGTTATGACATATGTCTTCACCTGTCAATGGCTCATTTTTAAGTGGTTTTGAAAGCAATGCTTGGTACATTTTTGCATCTATCCATTTTCTTCCCTTGCAGTTTTAGAATGCAAAGAAGATGCAGTGCTATTAGGTCTAGCAAAGATTATTTGTATTTTGTATCACCCCCATTATAGAAAGCTGACCCCTGTATCCTGCTTTGGGAGGGGGAATATATGCACCTTTTGTCTGTCTTGCTAGAAATCATATGTTCTCACATTTTTGCTCTTATTTTGTTCTTCTCACAGAATGTCATAGAAGTGTAGAGTTGGAAGGGACCCCGAGGGTCAACTTGTCCAGCCCCCAGAAGCGCAGTTTGCATGAAGACACCAAACCCAAGTTGATTCATCTGATTCAACAGTTGAAAACGGGTTCAGAATCTCTCATTATCTTCCTGATCTGAAGGGTTTCCCTTTTCCAATTCCGTTGCTTGGAGATTACCTAACTTCTTTTCTCCTTGTACACAGATAGGCTCTTCTCCCCCCTTGAAATTAAAGTGGTCATAGATAATCTTCTTTCAGATTCTGCTAACTCCTTTTGAAAAATACTTCTATACTACACTTTCACAATCTGGTGCCCTCTGAACTTTTTAAACATACAACTCTGACCAGCCCCAGTCAGTTAAAAATACAGGGAACCTTAGGCCCTCCTATGGAAATGTCTGGTGAATTTTGCCCACCCACCCCAGTGTCTCTCCCACAGGACTGAACACAACCTGAGCTGAAAATATAAGTTCACTTCACATGATATTATCCTTTTCTTTTTCTTCGCTCTCACTTAAAAGGTATTATCTTCCAGTGATGATGACCTTCTTTGTTTTTTTCAGGAAGCATTGTAAGCGTTGGAGATCCGAAAAAGAAATATACAAGGTTTGAAAAAATTGGCCAGGGGTAAGTATTGCCAAGGCACAGGGGCTCAGTTTTGATTATAGTATTTCTGCCCATTTGGTTATACAAGTTATCACTGGCATATTTTCCATAAGGCAGGGACTACAATTTGGTTGCCTCGTCTTCCCACCTAGAGCTACCAATGTGAGCAACCATCAGTAATTCCCTGGTTCAGATCTCACCTCAACATCTTTGAGTATTCCACAGTATGGGAAAGATAAAATATTGCTGTTGTGTGCATCATGACAAATATATTTTATTGCAGGAGGTATCACACAGAAACTGGACTTGTTTGCAAATAACACTAACCCAAGGTTTGTTTAAGCCAAGGCTTGTTCAACAAACCACAAGTTAATACAAGTTACCTCCCAGACAATCAAAGAAGGTGTGGCTTCTTTCTTCAAAATTAGGTCCCCTGCCCCCAGCCGTTCATTATGTTTGGTGAGCATTTATAGTTTAAGCATTTGTGATGGGGTGCAAGCAAACCATGGTTAAGGAAGGGTGCTGTTTTTTAATGTAATTCCATGCTATAGTTGAAAGAAATCAAGGTTCATAAGTCAACATCAAACCATAGCTTCAGATTGTGGTTTGTTGACAGTAAACAACCCATATTGGGCCTCTGGGCAGGGTTCACATGTAATGCTAACTCAGGGTTTAACAAACCATAGTTTAATAAATCAGCATTTAGCATTGTGTGAGAACCAGACTGTAGTTTCATATTCAATCTCAAAATACTTCTGACACCTGCCAGACCTATTTCTGTAGCCTGAAGAATGACATCTGGATATAAGCAGGTGGAAGGTTATCTAAATAAAATGCTCAAATCAAAATCCTCTGCACTTGAATTTTGGTTCTGCACAGACAACCATGAGTAAACAGGTTTTTTAAAAAATGTAAACAAATTGGATTAAACTTCCCTATTAGTCACAGAAAACACATTAGCATTAACATTGAAATGATGAATGGCATATCCAGTGGAAACATTGCATTAAACCGAGGGATGCAGGGTGTGGGAGAAAAAAGTTAAATGCTCTTAAAATAATTTTGCTTGCTAATTAATATCCACAGTTCCAAACAACATTCTGGCATTGTAGAAAGACTGTTCAGTGCATGTCAGTGTTAAACATCTAATAACTCACCAGCTACTTAATTGACAGAATCCCTTCTAAAACTGGGCAACACACTTTGTAGCAGTGACCAGCAGGCATAAGTATGTGCTCATTTTTATTCATGTTCTTCCTGTTTGGCACCTCCACATATCTTGACAACACATTCTATTTTCTTGTAGAGCTTCAGGTACAGTTTATACAGCGATAGACGTTGCCACAGGGCAGGAGGTATGTGCAATGTTGGTGTCTGTTTCTTCTCTGCTTTTAAAATTCTGCCCAGTTTTCTCATACCGCTTGTAATATACTTGTACACAGTTTTGGGTTATTGCCTGCCTCTGATGCAGAACTGCATCACTCATAAGTAAGAATGGGGGAGAAATTGGGTTCAGATCACATTTAAAGGCAAACTTACCTAATTCATTCACACTTTCTGAAACAGTATATGAACTGAAGTGTAGGCACCCTTTGAAATATTCACAGTCTTAATTTTGCAATGCTGAACAATGTGAACTACAGACAAGCAGTGTGTACAAAAATGCATATATTAGTGGAAAATCACGTACATAAATGTGTTGTGTTAGGAAAAACTGCTTCCCAAAACCTGTGTATGAGGGGAAATGCAGCGGAGGTGGTATGGCTCTGAATACCACTTTTGGGGGCTGTTCTTGGGTCCTACCTGCAGGCATCCCATAGGCACCTGGTTAGCAACTGTGAAAACACGATGCTGGATGAGATGGGCCTTTACCCTGATCCAGCTGAGACTTAAAATCTGTTCTTAAGCTTGATGGGTCTTAGTACTGATTATGGTGGCTGTGGCAGAAAACATAATGGATCTGGCAACCTCTGTGATGGCACACAGTCTGTTGGTTGTGACTATATGTATTTGCAGCAGTTGATTTTGACTTGCCCTCAGTGCTCATTTGCTGTAGAAGCAAATCCAGCTGCTAAGCCTGTCATAGTCAATACAATACTCTCCTATCTTTTTAGGTGCTGGGTGGTCTCATAATGGGGATTCTATACATATTAGTTCCAGTGATGCTAATTATTCTTAACACTTGGACAGACTCTTTGATTTCCAAAGTTTGCTATAAATATTAATTAAAGAAGGATCGTGGTTAAATACCTGGGATTTGTATTTAGGTAACATGGAGGTTAGTTGACCTCAAGAGTTAAAGCTAAGGGAGGGGGAATCAAACTGAAGGTCAAAGGCCTAACCTTAAGCTATGCAATTATGAGTCGCTTGTGTCACGCTCGGTACCATTCTGCATGTCGACCGAAGTGTGACCCATATAATGATCGGTCAAAGCACTGAATGGGGAGGCCTCTGAACTTCTTTGAGTTTGACTAATGTTGAGTTGTCAGCTTAATGTTTGCACCTTTTTTTCACAATTATGGTGAAGCCCAGTAGAAAGATCGGGGTTTTCAAGCTTGGAAAGAAAGAGAGGTTAAGGGGCAATCAAGATTCATTAACACTCATGCAAGTTTGGCTGTTGATATCAGCAAGATATACATTGCATTGACAATTATCGGTGCTGGAACACTAGATAAAGTTGAGCCGGATACCTCCAGATATATAGTGGACTCTCAATTGCCAGTGATTTCAGAAAGAGATGCAACCCCCAGGAGTGCAGCTGAGACACTATTTCACCCAGCATTTCATGGATAGCAATGGGTGTGTTTGCTTTTTTAAAATTCCCTTTTTGACCCTATCGATTGTGACCACAGTGCTGCAATCAAATATACACACCATACAGCAGAAAATTCTTCTCCACCACCTGTACATTTTATCCATTGGGTAGTATCCGAGGCCTTCTTCCCTCCTATGGAAAGAGTCTTCCTCCCAGGGCAGGTCTCCTTCTGTCAGAGCAACCCATTTACTGTGCATACTGGTTTCTGAAGCAAAGTGTGTTAGCACTTAACATAGCTGTTTCCTAAGAACGTGAATCTGCTTGTTGTCATTATACAACTGATGCAACTTAGATATATTCAACAACATTTACTGTGCACTATTTATAATGAATTCTTGGTAGTGGGAAGCTTAAGTTTTAGATCCAGATAAGTTCACAGCTGAGGAGTGTGTGAATCCCTCCTCGTACTCACAGATTATCTCCATGCAAACTGTCCCCATACTTTTCTCCTCAGCTGAGCTTCAATAACAGCTTGGCTAAGAGAAAAAAACTTGGCACAGAATGTACAGGGAGGTAAGTGGTGGGCGCAGAGTGCGCTTGGCTCCCCTCACTCACATAACCTAAATATAGAGCACCCCCTGTCCTCTGGGTTGTACGTGACTGAGGCAGGCCTAGATTTAAACCAGGTGGGGGAAAGCTTTGCCCATCCAGATGTTGCTGAACTACAACTCCTGTCAGGTCCAGCAAGCTTAGCCAATGGCCGGGGAGGATGGGAACTGCATTTTGGCAACATCTGGAGGGCCACAGGTTCCCCACAACTTATTTAAACCAATAAGTCTGAGAGGTGGTAATAGTGACCCATGAAATCCCTGATTTGATTCTCACCTTGACCATGAGATTCCTAAGTAACTTTAGATTCCCCCACCATTTGCAGCAAGGCCAGCTAACCTTACAGGGTTGCTGCAAGAATTGCAACTAAATTAAGCATGTCAAGCACTTTGGAGACCAGGAAGTGCTATGCAAATGCTAAGTATTATAGTTATTACCTAATTTGCCCTCTTAATTAACTTGGTGCTGTTCTCAGCAGTTACCTATCTAGTTGCCTCCAGTCTATTGCACTTATTTTGTGCATGTTTTTTCTTTAAAAAATGTTTGTTTGTTTTCTGAAGGGGAGGGTTCACTTAAAAACAGAAATTAAGTTTCATGAAAATGTCATTTCAGGTGGCTATAAAGCAAATGAATCTCCAGCAGCAACCCAAAAAGGAATTAATAATCAATGAGATCCTGGTCATGAGGGAAAATAAGAATTCCAACATAGTTAACTACTTAGATAGGTAAGTATCTTCAAGTGACCTTCTGATAATGTTTGCTAGGAAGCTTTGGATAAAAATGTGATCAGTGGTGGAGGCTGGCCACCAGGGCAAGTGGGGCATTGACCCACCAAGCTTGGTCTGTCCTCAACCAGCCCCAACCTATTGCTTTGCTTACAACCAGTCTAGGAGGTCACACTGGCTCCGCCTATCATTGGCTCTTGGTCTGCCTACTGTTTGTGCTCCCTGTCCTCTGCCCTATCAGTTCCAATGAGCACCAGCCGCCACTGGTTTTGAAGGTTTGCTGTAAGCCACCTTGGGCACAGTTCATTGTGGAAAGACAGCAAATGAGTAAATCAATCACTGGTGACCAAAGGATACTTGCTAGCTTCTTGGGTGTAACTGTTCATTTGTGGGAACTGTTAGGCCACAAGTGCCTCATTAGAAGCAGGTGCCAGCCTGAGCCTCTGCTGAACAGCTGCAAAGTGGAGAGGGAAGGCAGATTTCCAGGTGCTATTCTGCTGCAGTTTGGCCAGTATGCATCCAGAACCCCAGGGGAGAGGTGGGGACCATAAGAAAAATAAGTTGATAGGGTGGGGAGGGTGAAGCATTCCCTCCTGTCTGGTACCCATCAATACCTTCTGTTTCTTTGGTTTATTAGTGTAATGTTGTTTGTGGACCACAGCATTCAGACCACATTGAACTGGTATTTTTTTCCATATTCATCTACTAATGACTTCTTGAATTTGATGTCTCAGTTACCTTGTTGGTGATGAACTTTGGGTGGTAATGGAGTACTTGGCTGGTGGCTCTTTGACTGACGTTGTTACAGAAACCTGCATGGATGAAGGGCAGATAGCTGCTGTCTGTAGAGAGGTAAGTAATTTCATGCTGTGACAGCATGGTGGTCTTCAACCAACAGTTATGTTTATACATTGGCCTGCTTTGGATGCACATATCTTGGCTCGTGAAGCTGAAATATATACTATCCAGAGCTTTTTGTGTGTGACAAAGTGTCTGGAATGCCATTGCCTCTGGTTTTTTTGCTGCCCATCACAACCATTTTGTGCTTCGACCTATGGCACTTTTATCAAGATTTGAGTACCGACACTTCATTTATTTGTTTGTTACCAAAACAAAAAGCACTGGGGCTATCCTTATGCCTATGAGCATTGTCCCTCCCCTTGTCCATTCCCAAGGCACTGTGGTTAATTCCAGAAATCTTTAGCCATATCTTTCCATTACATCTGAGCCAGGAAACCATGATTACAAGGTTTGGAACAAGCGAGAACTTTACACTTCCTTCAAACCATGGTTTAAGATCCTTGACTTGCTCTGAACCTTCTTAAGCCTACTGTTGTGTGCAACCTTAGCTCTTCTCAGAGTAAGCCTATTAAAATGAGTGGCTATAAGTTATTCATGTTCATGGTCCTACTCTAAGCTGAGCAAATGTTGGACCAACAACCCATTGTTTCCAGGTTTGACTATAGCTTAACTGAAGTCTTCTTACTGCAGCATACCAAGAGGAGAGGGGCAGTGGAGTGTGAATGCACTAATCCCATGCATTTCCCAACCTTTTAAGCTGAGATATTTACACACAAACCAAGCTGTTGCTACCTTTTGGCATGAGTATATCTGCTAGATAATGGTAGGAGGAGCTAGCCAGTCATACCCAAAGTAGCATTGCTCTAGGGTGCTGTGGGGAGTTTAAAACCATGGTTTGTAATTTCCTGATGACCGAGGTGGGACAGAGCAGATGCCACTGCCGAAGTATATGCCCACAGTTGTTGGATACTTCCTGTGGGAAGGGAGAACGATTTGGCCATTGAAGAGTGGATCTCTATTCAGTGAAGGAAGTGGTGGCAGTGCTGGGAAATGGGCTAAATGTACCAAGGTATGGTCTGAAGCTTCAAGAAGCCACCTGCTTGCTGAAGCTAAGCAGGTATGGGTCTTGACACCCACCTGGGTGGGTGACCACGCTAAAGCCACATATATGCTACCTTGGAATGAAATAATGTGTGAGTGCCCATGTAGCAAGTTGCTCTGTTTGTAGCGTACACTCTGTCATCTTACCATTCCTATAGAAATGAAAACAAAAAATGATTTGGCAATATACTTCACCTCCTCCATTTCCTAATAAGTCAGACCATAATCCTTGACTTGCACCATGCTCTTCTAAAAGTATCTTATCTATTACTTTCTAAATATCAGTGCCTGCAAGCTCTGGATTTCTTGCATTCAAACCAAGTGATCCATAGAGACATCAAGAGTGACAACATTCTTCTTGGGATGGATGGATCTGTCAAACTCAGTAGGTATTCTCTGTAAGGCTTTTGCCACTGTAGTTTTTGTGGTGTGGTATTGTGGTGTGTTGTCAGGGTGCAGTGGTGGTATATATCTCTCCCCTCCAATAAAGATATAGTGCAAAAACAGGTGAGAAATGGTGCCAGTTTTGGTATCAAAGGGAGTTTCAGTTATGCTTAATTCCCCATCTCTACATAATTATCCATGTGTAGCCACTTATGTAGGTGATCATGCACTCATTGACATACACATTCCATCCTATGTATTTTTCGAAAATTAAAAAAGCAGCTAGAATTGCATGTACATTTTAAGCACCTATGATATGCAGTTTAGAATGCTTAACGTTGCACCTTCTCTTAAAATGTGCAGTTTCCCAATAAAGTACACCACATCACAAAAATTTGGAGAGCATGTGAACCCATTGATAGCTACATTTTTGATACACAAGTCTGGGAACTGGCAAATTAGGTTGATTTGCTTTAAATGCAGGTCTGATGGTTTTCTCCTCCATCCCTAACTGTCAGCACAGTTTATTTGACTGGTGCTTCTCTCATTGTGTTAGGGAGAAACTTCTCTAAGACATTCTAAGAGTCAGGGAGTTTTTCCTACCCCACTTATGTTGAGAAATATGTGTGCGTGTGTGTGTGTATGTGTATGGTGCTCCCAGTAACACTTTTTGCTCTTCAGGTTTTTTTTTCTTCCTTTTCATAATTTTCAAATAATCTGTATTCTATGCTGCTGCTCTCTGAATCCTTATGAATTTGGATTTTGGTTTTTCTTTTTGTTTTTGGCTCCCCAAAAATGGCCGCAGGACTAAACATTTAAGATTGCGATGAAAAAGCACTTAAGACTTATCTCAACACATAACAGGGCAGAATCCTATTCAGAGTAGACCCACTGAAATTAATGTGCATGACTAAGTTAGGTTCATTCATTTCAATGAATATACTTCAAGTAGGACTAAGACCCTATGTGCCTTGGATATGCTTAAGAATATAAGAAGATGGATCAGACTGTGGGGGAAGGAAGCTGGAGAAGAGGCTCCAAAGTGATATTTCCCATGTTGTGATGGTGACACTTTGCTAATTTGTACCCAGGTTGTAATGCAATCTCCTGTAGTCACCCGAGATTGTAGTATCAGCAGTGGTACACAGCCATACTATTACTTACCCATTTACTTTCCTAGTTTTATGTGGAGATGCATGTTGCACGATGAAGCTGAGATTAAGCATTTTTAAGGTCCCATCCATTTGAGTGGGGGAAATGCTTACCAGGGCTTACCTTTTCCATTGATATCAGTTTGAGTTCCATGTGTGAAAATGGTGGCACAGCTCAGCGGCAAAGCATATGCAAAAGGTCTCAGGTTCACTCCTCAGCATCTCCAGGAAGGACTGGAGCAACTCCAGATCTCCTCCAACCACTGTGGGCCAATTTGAAAGGTGGGTGAGGCTGCCCAGTGGTCAATCACAGTGCTTTCAAACAGTGTAAGGTAAGCAAAGGAAGAAGGGTTTGCAGCAACCACTGATCACAGAACCATAGAATTGTTGGGAGGGACCCTGGGGATCATTGAGTCCAACTCCCTGAAGTGCAGGGATATGCAGCTGTCTCGTACGGCAATCGAACCTGCAACTTTGGCATTGTCAGCACCATGCTCTAACCAACTGAGCTATCCAGGGGGACATGGTCCAAGGAGGATGCCTGCCAAGCCTCATTTGACTTATGAGCTGGAGATTCTCATCTGCTGGTTTCGCTTGTTGAAATGCACCTTGCTATCCTTGCTTAATTTTTGCTGCGTTTCTCCTTTATCCTTCTTTTTCCAGTATGGATGTTGTCTTTGTTTGACAATTATCATATCGTTTTCCTCTCTGTTCTCCAATCTGTCAGTGTTCTTCAGCCTCTCTTCCTCTTTACCTCAACTTTCCCACTTGCTCTTTTGTCTGCTTCTTCTTCTGGTTTCATACCGTTTCTGTAACTCATCATCTTTGCTTTTCCTTTGCTGCAGCTGACTTCGGCTTCTGTGCTCAGATCACTCCCGAGCAGAGTAAACGGAGCACAATGGTGGGAACCCCCTACTGGATGGCTCCTGAAGTGGTGACAAGAAAGGCATATGGGCCCAAAGTGGACATCTGGTCTTTAGGGATCATGGCCATAGAAATGGTGGAAGGAGAACCTCCATATCTCAATGAAAATCCTCTCAGGGTAAGATCAGAAGTCCAGTATGCTTCTTGTTTTTTTAAAAAACCATCCTAAATTGTAGACTGCCTTGGGACTCGCATAAGGGTCACAGGTTGATTGCACACTGGAGGCATCCAAGGTCCCAGGTGGATGGCAACAAAGACAGGGAGCCTTCTCAGTTGTATCACCTCAATTGTGGATTGTTCTCAGGGAAGTTGGCAGCTTAATTCCATTCCATTTCAGTTTTGTGGGAAGTTATTCTTCAATTCCTTCAATCCCATTTTGCATGGTGGTTTTTTATTATTGTTGAAATAATGCACGAAAAGTCAGCACTTGAACTACAAAATTTCAATGCACTTTTTACATAAAATACACATTTCCCTATGCATTCGTCCACAAATACACATTTTTAAGTCCGTTTTATGTAAAATGTTAATTTGTGTGTGTGCATGCATTTTTTTGTGTACTGAGACTGCATTGCAAAATCTAGAGAACTGTGTAATCATGCTTACACAGTAGTGCTCAGATCCACATGCAAGAATGGAAAGTTTTCTATTGCCCATATCTTTTTATTCATTGCATTTTCTTTTTGCAAAAGAAAAATGTTTCAAGTTTATTGGAAGATGGGATAAAAATCCTCGAATAAATACCTAAAGGAAGGAACAAGAAAAGCCGCCTCAGATAAATCAATGCAACTTACCGTTTTACCCTTTAGGCCTTGTATTTGATAGCTACAAATGGGACTCCAGAACTGCAGAATCCCGAGAGACTCTCTGCTGTTTTCCGAGACTTTCTGAACCGCTGTCTGGAGATGGATGTTGACAGGCGAGGGTCTGCGAAAGAGCTCTTGCAGGTAATGTGTTATGGGATGGAGAGAGGGCACAATCTGTTTTCTTTTCTGTCCCCTACAGAAATGTCAAAAGAGTTGGATTGTTATGTGGGTTCCCACATCAGCTCTGTATTCACTGTGAAGGTGTTGTGCTGCTTTGGAGGTGCAGGGCCTTCCTGCATGATTTCTGCTCCTCCCACATGCCACACTCACGTTTCATGCATTATGAGAGTAGTGTGGGGATGCTACCCAAATTATGGGATTTGTTCCCGCAAATATAGTGTGATAGTCACCAACTTGGATGGCTTTAAAGAAGGATTCAGTAAATTCAAGGGACATCAGGTTATCCATGGCTACCAGCCACAATGGCTATGTTTTACCTCCACTGTCAGAGCCAGTATGCCTCAGTCTGAATACCAGTTGCCGGGAACCACAAGTGGGGAGAGTGCTGCAGTACTCAGGTTTTACTACTGGGCTTTGCATTGGCATCTGTCTGGCCACCACGAGAGCAGGATGTTAAACTAAATGGGCCTTTGGCCTGATCCAGCTCTTATGTTCTTAAGCAGTTGCCATGCCCTTGTGTAAGGAAGGTTTTAGGTTCTAGATGACACTGAGTGCTGGTTCACACATATCATTTGGTTATTCTACACTCGTTTACTGGATCCTAGTTTGCAGGAGCCCCTTGCTCTCCATATCCTATTGCTCCCCTATATTTGACAGGGTGAAAGAGCATAAAATACAATTTTATCAGTGGCAATCACCCACGCTATCTGGGCATAAACATCTGGGTGTTATGTGTAGCCACCCTATTCAGAAATTACACTCATGCATGAACATCTAGTGGCTTTGGAAGTCGTCGTGGTTGGCATCTGTCTGTCTTGAAAGACAGTGAAGTGTGCCTCCAGGGGTGAATTCAAACCATGTAGTGACCTCTCCAGAGCAAAATCCTGGACAGTATATATGGAGTTCCTGGGTTGCCCAGATAACAAGACCCCTTCTTGGTGTATTAGCTGGGCAGAGTGGCAAAATACTGTCATCTCTCCATTACAGATGTGGAAGTATATTAGCTTCAATATCTTAAACATGGTAGCTGGTTCCGTTGAATGCAATGGGTGATATGAAAACTCTGCTTATGGTGTTAGATTTCTAGTGCCTCACTCATACATGCATTGAAGTGCCAGTTATCACATGTGTAGATGATGCCTGGTAGGATGGCATCAAGTGACAAGTGCAGACCACTGAAGTCCACAAGTGGTTGCAGGGTAAAGCACAACAGGAAGTATCACTTACATGAAAAATGAACACAGTGCCATCAGGATTCTAGCCAAAACTGACCTGCTCAGAAACAAAAGGGAAGGGCTGTATCTCAATGATTAGAGCATCTGTATTGCATGCAGAAGGTCCCTGATTCAATCCCGGACATCTCCTGGTGGAGACTGCCTGCCTGAAACCCTGGAGAGCTGCTGCCAGGCAGCATAGACAATACTGAGCTTGATGGACCAATGCTCTGACCCAAGAACACAGGAAGTTGGTTTATGCTAAGTGCCAGTATGCTGGGTGTGGATAATGTTTTAATTTTTTTTAAGAGTGTGTGTGTGTGTGTGTGTGTGTGTGTGTGTGTGTGTAATGAAATGGTTTATATATGCTTTTATTGCCTATGCTTTTTACTGCTAAATCGTTTTGAGATATTTCATAGGGAGCAATACAGAAACAGAAACAAATAATTAAGCTTGCAGACAAAAAAACAAAGAAAAACTTTTAGAAAAAAACCCAAAGGGGACCACCCCCAACCGCAACAACCATTCCAAACAGCCCAGAGGGGACTGAGCATGCTCAGTAACGATAGAATATGGTGACTGTTGGGGAAAAAAAGAAAACAAATGGCAGAGGAGCAGAATGTCCTGCTTTCAGGGAGTTGCTGAACTAGAACCCTGAACAAGGAGCACTCCTCCTAGGAGAGAGGATGCACTGCAACATTTTGCTTGTCTAGCCAGCCATCTGTCTGTCCACCTGTCAGATAAATAACAGTTTTCTTCTTCCTTTCAGCATCCGTTTTTAAAACTGGCCAAGCCGCTCTCCAGCCTGACTCCCTTGATCATCGCAGCCAAGGAGGCCATAAAGAACAGTAGCCGCTAGAGCGCTGAGCCGCGTGTGCCCAATTCCTCTACGGCAGGACTGGACAAATACTAAGTAGAGCCTCAGACTCTTCTGCCGGAGGATGGGCAGGCAGAAACCGACACTCTCACAGTCCACGGGGGGAGGGAGGGAGGCAGCAGCCTTCTGCCCCTTCCCCTGGAAAAGAAACCTATCACGTATCTTCTTTCCACTCTACAATTCCCCAATTTATTTCTGAATGGGAGCCTGATTGAGAGGGGCAGGACTGGAAGCCTCTGTGCTCTTTTGGCCATTTCCAGAGCACCAATGGCACAGCCCAACCAGCACTCAACCAGGCAGAAGTGATAGGCCCAAACATCCTGCCCTCCCCATTTTTCATTTTTGTTTTTTGTTTTTGTGGGGCAAGGGGGGCTGGATTTGTGGCCTCTTTCACCCTGGTTGTTGGGAAAGACCCAAACTGTTTGCAAACCACTGGTCTGTTTGCTTGTCATGAGATGAGGAGGATCATGAAGAAGCTTGCTTTATTTAACCAAAAGAAAAAGAAAGAATCATAGAATCATAGAAATATAAGGGGCCCTGAGGGTCAAGAAAGAAAGAAAAAATAATACTAAATCAAGAAGCAGGTCAGTCTCAGCATCCTCTCTGAGAGTTTATGCTTCGAAATACAGAATACAGATAGCGATTGCATTCCTGGACAGCCTGGCGAGGGTGTCATTAATATTGGTGCTTTTGTGTTGGTGAGTTTTCCCTTCCCAAAGCAAAACAGACAAATAGAAGCATATAAACCACATTTATGTAACACTGCAGCTTTGAGTATGTGGCAGTGGGACCATTCCTGCCTGGTGTCCATTCGCTTCTCCATAATGCTGAGCAGCTCCTCTCTGAAGGACTGGAACAGAAGGCCACCTTTCTGCTTCTTACTCCACAGCTGCTCCATAGATTGGTGGAACTGAACTTGCTGTCCCCAGTTTAAGATAACACCCCAGTGCTAACCACACACACAAACTTGGGATAAATTCCCTTTGATTTCAGGACAGCAACAAGGCAGGCTATCACCTCCATCCATGATGGTGCTGCCTTGAAGGACAGAATCTCATACAATGTTAGTGTAATTGAATCTAGGAGGAAGATGGGGAATCTGTGGGCCTCCAGATGTTGTCGGATTACAACTCCCACCATCCATGACCAGCAGTCATGTTCATCACAATGGACATGAGGCTGCTGAGAGCAAGTGTGGTGTAGTGGATAAGAGCGGTAGACTCGTAATCTGGTGAACTGGGTTCAATTCCCCGCTCCTCCACATGCAGCTGCTGGGTGACCTTGGGCTAGTCACACTTCTTTGAAGTCTCTCAGCCCCACTCACCTCATAGAGTGTTTGTTGTGGGGGAGGAAGGGAAAGGAGAATGTTAGCCGCTTTGAGACTCCTTCAGGTAGTGATAAAGCGGGATATCAAATCAAAACTCTTTTTCCTCTTCTCTTCTTCTGATGGGAGTGGGAGCTCAACTCAACTCAACTGCAGGTTCCCTGTCTCTAGTCTAAGGGAAATCCATTCTCATTATGATGCTGTTAATGGAATTTGTCATTTCCCCTAGAAAACTGAAAGCCACCAGACTGCATATCTAGCAATCCCATTGAATAGGCTTTGGAAAGGGGCTAATAATAATGAAGAATTCCACAATACTGTTGTGTCTACTGTAAGGTTTGGCCTTCTTGAACATTACCGCCCATGCAGAATGGGAAATGTGACTGAAAATAAGTAGTTAAGAGAACAGGAACTGCAGTAGTATACAGCTTGGTGGGAAGATTTCTTTCTTCTCTCTTCCCACAAGCCTGTTGTGATCTGTGACCTGAATTGCAGAAGATTGAATCTTGAACTTCTAGACTCCCTGCAGTCTAGCTTTGACTGTGAATATTTGTTAAAGCAGCATATTAGCTTTTGTTTAAACAATTAGTTTTTCTGTTTCCTCCAACCTGAGTTGGGCAGATCTAGTTATCTTTTCTCAAAAAGAAAGAAAGAAAGAAAGGTTGGTTTGGAATCCTTATTTCTAGAGTTGCCAGATATTTTACTGCCTTTCCTCACCACCCCTGCATTTCTGAGAGCAGGTCAATCTGCTGAAATTAGCAATGGATAATCATACTTGTCTCTGTGCTCTGAGAAGCTTCACCTCCTGATTCCTGTGCATCAAGCTGCTCTTAAAAGTACAGGAATTGCCCAGGCTGTGGATAGTCTTACTTGTTGCCAGAAGTGACTTGCTGGGAGGGGGTGTGAAGCTGCTTTGCTAGCCTACTGGCAAGTGGGTCACTGTTGTTTTCCAGGGGAGGGAAGAGTGAGGCGGTGGAGAAGTCAGCATGGTGCAAACACGTTGGTGCAAACACCATCTCTCCCTCCTAGTGAGCAACAGCAACAGTGACCCACCTGCTGGGAAGTTAGCAAGAGTGGCTGTGCAGTGAGCTACTTCCACTTGTTCCTTATTTTAAGAACAGTGCTGTGGGCAGTGCTAAGCCTGCTGTTGCTGGGAGTGTGTACAAACAGGAGATTGCTTGCAGTCCAGGGAGGAAGACAAAAGGAGGAGGAAGAGGGCAATAGGTTTAATTTTTTGATGTTTATGCTTTTCAGAGGCAGGGACAGTCATCATCTCTTGGAAGTGCCCCATTTGACATGCTGTATCCATCTTTGGGTGGATTTCATCCCATCTCAGCCATTCTCCATTCTAGTTCAGTGCTGCTCTCTGTGTTGTAACTGTTCTTAATGTTGCCCATTGGTGGCAGCACAGTGGCTGCCGCCTTCTGTCTTTGTTTCATGGGGACTGTGCTGAAGAAGTGCTGCATTTTTTATGATAACTCTCTTTCTGCTGATGCTAAGATGTTGCTCTATTGGGGATCGGGGTACCTCTGGAAAACAATGTGGCAACTTTCTAGATTTTAATTTTATTTTAAATCTGCCTAGATATCTAGATATATTTTTTATTTTACTTGACTGTAGAAAGATGCATTGCTGCTTAAGGACACTCTGTAATTTGGGAAATGGGCCAAAGTGTCAATCACCCACTATTTTACTAATCTATCCAATAAAAACTGTTTTGCCAGCAAATTAGCACTGAGGTCTGATAACCTCATGAGCTCCGGTCTTTGTCAGGCTCCATCCCTCATCTTCAAGCTTCCTCCCTGGTGGTGACATTACTCTCTAGATCAGGCTCTGCCAAACTGGTATCCTCCAGAACGTTAAAGGTTCAATATTCTCTGGCCTCCAGCACAAGGGCTGTTGTGATAGCTTAAGGGCAAGAATAATGGTTGCACAAATATGAAACTAGCACAACAGTTGTGCTAGCAGAAGCTTCTTGTGCAAAAGGTGGGATCAGGACTACAGGAATATGTTGTGCAATCAGCCATGAGAACCATACTGGCTTCCTGCACCATCTCTATCACAACAGCCATTCCACTAGGGCAACCAGTGCACCACTAAGGGACTTTAACACAGCACTACATTGAATTCCCACCTGTGACTTCAGCTCCTACCCCACCCTAGCCTGTATAGTTCTGTTGGCTGGGGGATAATGTGGATGGTAGTAGGAAGTATCAGGTTGATGAAGATTGGTCTAGATTATTCCCTGGTTCCTACCCACAACCTTCCAGAACCTTCCTTTGCCCCTGACCTGCCAGGTTCTCCAACTGTGTCCATTGCCAGAGCCTGTGTTACTTTTGAAATACCAAATCCATTGTTGATCCAGGAAGGGAAAGTTCAGTTCCCACAATCTGGAACCTATAGAGGACATTCTGGTCACACCACTGTGAGGGTCTGGGAAGATACCATGCATTGTGGATGAAAAGGAGTGTGTGTGTGTGTGTGTGTGTGTGTGTGTGTGTGTGTGCATCCACAAGCAAACTCTCCATGCTCATATTTGTGTACCAACAACTAAATCCTCCTAATATGAAATATTTTGATACCACTGGATTTAGAGCAGGAGTTGGGGGAGGGACTAGATCCTTATCTCCCCCACACCCCGCGGGCCAAGTCTGACAGGTGGGTGGGGTCAACCCCTGCCAATCATCTGACATCACAACAACACCACGCGGCTTGTTTTTCCATAGTGCTGTGCTGATCAGTTGTTTGACAATGCCTGTAAATCCCCTTTGAGCCCTGCCACCTCTTAAGCTAGCCCATACCTGACAAATAAGATATCTGGTGTAGGGCAGGTGAGCATCACCTGGACAAAACAGGGAGATTTTCTTGGCCTAATTTGGCCTTCAGGCCTTAGTACCAGGTGCCTGCCTTTCTCTTCTTTGCAGCTGGCCATGCTACAGCACCTGCAGACAAAGTGGGCTGGCTGCATCATGCAGCTGATGCTGGGAGTGCACAGTGCAGAACTGTGTGCTTACCATGCAGTCTTTTCTGTGTCCATTAAGTGAGCCTGCCACCCTCAAGCACACTATCCCATTGCCCGTCCTGAATAAAAATTCACCTCCCAGCCTCTGAACATGGAATGAGTGCTGGTGGTTGCCATCTGGTCTTCTTCATGCAGCAAAATGTCATGGGTCGGTGTTTAAGAAGCTAATATTGGGTCACACTTAGTGTTGAGTCACACTCAGTGTTAAGAAGATAAGGAGAGTTCCTGCTGGATCAGGCCAGTGGTCCATCTCATCCAGTGTCCTGTTCCCACAATGGCCAACCAGGTGCCTGTGGGATACCTATAAGCACAGAAGCACTCCTCCTTTGGTTTCCGGGGAAGCATGACTGCTTCCAACCTTGGAGGCATAACATAGCCATCACATTGGGGCACACTGAATATTGATAGATTCAGTACAAGCAAAGTGGATGTACTTCACACAGCACACACTTAAAACTACAGAATGTGCTTATTATATATTATTTAATAACCAATTTAAGAATAGAAATGTGCTCCTGCGAGATGTAGTGATAGCCACCAATGTGGATGGCTTTAAAAGGGGTCTTAGTTAAATTCACACTAGAAATGGGTACAAGCCATGATGGCTGTGACCCAGTTCCACTGTTGCTGGAGGGCAGTGTACCAGTTGCTAAGAATCATAGGTGGGGAGAATACAGGAGCACTTGGGTCCTGCTTGTGGGCTTCCCATAGACATATGGCTGGCCCCTGTGAGAATGGGGTCAGATACAGTAGGCCTCTTTTTATGTTCTCATGTGGTGATCCAGCCACCTAGAGTTCCCACTAAGGCCTACAAGCAATGATAGATCAATTTCCCCAACCTCCAGGGTTTGATTTGGAATGGGGTCATTGCAAATAAATTAGGCCCTATTTGACTTGGGCCTATATTAAGTTCCATTTCAATATAAGGTCTCATTGTGTCCCATGGAAGATGCCAAGACCCATGTTAGCCATAGATCCTTGCAGGTAGGTCACTCCCGTGACCTTTTGCAGTAACATTGCAAGTGCAACAACCCATTGAAGATATGGTTCCCATTGATCTTGATTACTCCTACTAGGATGTCAGAATCCACACAAAATGTATATCCCATGAATTCTTCTATCCGAGACAATGCCAAGGCAATACTGAGGCTTGTTGTCCTCAATATTTCAGCCACTTTGTAAGTTTGGAAGGGGAAGGGAAGTGCCGAAGCTACATCAGGAAGGAATGGCACTAGGCCAAACCTATCATTAAAAGGTAAAGGTAAAGGGACCCCTGACCGTTAGGTCGGGTTGCGGACTCTGGGGTTGCAGCGCTCATCTCGCTTTATTGGCCGAGGGAGCCAGCGTACAGCTTCCGGGTCATGTGGCCAGCATGACTAAGCCGCTTCTGGTGAACCAGAGCAGCGCATGGAAACCCCATTTACCTTCCCACCGGAGCGGTACCTATTTATCTTCTTGCACTTTGATGTGCTTTTGAACTGCTAGGTTGGCAGGAGCAGGGACTGAGCAATGGGAGCTCACCCCGTCGCGGGGATTCGAACCGCTGACCTTCTGATTGGCAAGACCTAGGCTCTGTGGTTTAGCCAACAGCGCCACCCGCGTCCTTTAAACCTATCATTAGGCCAAGGCTAAATGTCCAAATGTGTCTGGCTTAGCTCATAGTGGGCTCAGGCTTTCCAAACCAGAAGGTTTGGCAGCTCATTTAAAATTGACATCAGTCGCATGCTCAGTGACACGGCACAGTTCAGGCTTCCTTAACATCCAGTAATTCAAGCTTCAGGAGTAATGACATACACACCCCTTTTTCCAAAGTGCATTTCACCCCTTCTTATCCATATTGGGGGAAAATGCTTTGCATACATTTGCATATGTTTCATTTTCCTGTCCATTTATTTTTACATTCTCCTTCATGCACCTAAATGTGGATGATA